TCAGCCGGGGATTGGACAGCCCCATAAAACAAAATGAGACTAATGAGGCACAGCAGTCCAGGGATAAGGACTAGAGGGCAGAAGGGGACAGGAAAGCTGGTGATAGGGAACCCAAGGTTGAGTAAGGACAGTGTTGTTATAGGGCGACATGTGTACTGTTTAATGAGAAACTATTTTGTTCTGTAAACCTTCACCTAATGTGAGAACAGCAGTACAACTGGAAGAACATAATCGATGTCACTGAATTTTACATGTAGAAATTTTGAAATGGTGTATCTTTCGCTATGTATATTTTCACAAAAAAAAAAAAAAAAAAAAGGTCTTCCAAGGCAGAGAAGGGAGCATGTTGACATGTCGTGGGGTTGTTAAGAATGTCATAAAACAATATGTGTACTGACTGTTTAATGAGAAAATATTTGTTCTGTAGACCTTCACCTAAAGTACAATTTAAAAAAATAAAAAGTAACAGGGGCCCTAGAGTCCCAAGAAGATGGATGAAGAGGTGAGGATTACAGGAAGCCAAGAAGGACTTCAGGTCAGAGGTCTCTCTGGGGCTGCCAGTCCAGGCATCTGGATAGATAATGATGATGACAACTTACAGATAGATAGTTAGATAGACAGACAGACAGACAGATGATAGCTGCGGTTGAGTGGACTATGACTCATGGTGACCTTATTGAAAAAAAAAAAAAAGTAGAACCACAATTCAAACCCAGTCGTGCTGACTGGCCATGTGGTTTTATGAGTACTCTCCTACATGCCCTGTGATGGCAGAGATCAAGTCTATTTTGTTTAACTCCACATCCCCAGGGTTGAATAGCACTTATTACATATTAGTTAAATAAATAAATGGAAAAAAATGAGCTGTCTATAAATTGAGTATATTCTTAGTTGCCAGGACATTGAACAGTTTCTGGGGCTGGCAGGCCTCTTCTAGAAAAGATCTCAAGTAAAGATCATTGTCAAGCAAAGGCCTAACTACACTTGTTATTGTTGTTAGTTGCCATGATATCGACTCTACTCATGACGACCCTATGTGTAACAGAACTAATAAACGTTGCCTGGTCCTGCACCACCTCCATTGTTTTTGATGTGTTTGAACCCTGGGTTATTTAAATCTGGAGGCAGAAGAGGTCCCAGGTTTTCATGAAACCATTAACGGACAGTGAGCTGAACTGGAGTTAATCTCTGACGTCTGGCTACAAGCCGTCTGAGTCCAGGCCGCATATAACAACCAGCCTCTTTTCAAGAATCCCCTGAAACCCTTTGCAACAGAGCATATGTAGGAGTGTCTGCATGGCAATAGGAGACCACAAGAGGTTCTGAGAATGGTTCGCATCTCATCTTTCATGTTATGGTTTAGAGACAGTCAGGACAAGTTCCAGAAACTCAAAATTGTTTTTACATTGAGATTCCACTTCCGCAGTCCTGATTTCCTGAGAGCTCGAAAGTTTAGAGAAGTTACCACCAATTTGGCTTGTCTAAAGCTCAGAATCCCAGCTGTCATTTCTGCTTGTAGTCTCTGAGGCCAGATCTCTTTCCCGTTTCACCTACCAGGCTGGACAATCACGGTGACCACGGCAGTGGACTGCTGCCTTGAAGAATCTGTTACCATCAGCTGGAATGTATAATCTCCTTCCTGCATTGCAGACAAATGAAGGTACGGTGTCTGTATTCCCTAAGTTGTAACAAATACAAAAAGAAAATTAAAAATAATATTAAGTCTAAGTAAATAGTACGACACAATGAAGAACTATTTATTTTTTTATTGTACTTCAGGTGAAGGCTTACAGAACAAATAGTTTCTCATGAAACAGAAGTATACATGTTGTTTTATGACATTGGTTAACAACCCCACAACATATCAACCCTCTAACTTCTCAATCTCTTTTTTTTTTTTTTTTGGTGAAAATACACATAGCCAAAGATACACCATTTCAAAAATTTATCCATGCACAGTTCAGTGACCTCGACTACGCTCTTTGAATTGTGCTGTTATTCTCACTTAAGATGAAGGCTTACAGAACAAAACAGCTTCTCATTTAACAGTTACTACAAATGTTGTCCTATGACAATGGTTAACAATCTCACAACACATCAACAATATCTTTACTCAACCTTGGGTTCCCTATCACCAGCTTCCTTGTCCCCTTCTGCTTTCTGGCCCTTGTCACTGGACTCCTGTACCTCGTTAGTCTCATTTGGTGTTACGGGGCTGTCCACTCCCAGGCTGAACAGTGAACCTCGGAGGTAACTTCACCACTGAGCTAAAAGGGTGTCTGGGGGGCCATACTCTCGAGGTTTCTCCAGTCTCCTTTAGGCCAGTAAATCTGGTCTTTTTTTTGTGAGTTAGAATTATGCTCTACGTCCTTCTCCAGCTCTGTCCAGAACCCTCTGTTGTGATCCTGGTCAGAGCAGTCAGTGGTGGTAGCCAGGCACCATCTAGCTGTACTGGACTCAGTCTGGTGGAGGTCTTGGTAGCTGTGGTCCATTAGTCCTTTGGACTAATCTTTTCGTTGTATCCTGTTCTCTTCATTCTCCCTTGCTCCCAAAGGGATGAGACCGGTGGAGTATCTTAGATGGCCGCTCACAGGCTTTTAAGACCCCAGACACTACTCACCAACGTAGAATGTAGAGCATTGTCTTTATAAGCTGTGTCATGCCAACTGAGCTAGATGTTCCCCGAGACCATGGTCCCCAGAGCCCTCCATGCAGCAATTCAGTCCCTCAGGGAGTTTGGATGTGTCTATGGGGCTTCCATGACCTTTCCTTGTACAAGTTGTGCTAGTTTCCCCTGTATTGTGTACTGTCTCACCCTTCACCCAAGATACCATTTATCTATTGCCTATTTAGTATTTCCCCCCCACCCCTCCCATCCCTGGTAACCAACAAAGATTGTTACATTTTGTGTGTGAGAACTAACTATTTTACTGAACATAAAGATCTTGCTCAAAAAAGAAATGTCTGTGTCCAGGGAAACGCAATCCAAAGCCCGTTGTGTATCCTCATTTACTACTTACAGGAGTGTGAATTAGAATAGCCTTTTGGGAAGCCCGTCAGATGATTTCCATTAAAATGTTAAATGAGCACACCCTTCAACCCAGCAATTCCACTTCTTAGTATCTGCACTAGAAAAATGCCCACGTGCACAAGTGGCAGGCACATGGATTCTGACTAAAGCATTGTCCGTAATAGCAAAGAATGGAAACAATCTAAATGTCCATCAACAGAGGAATGGCCAAACACACTACAATATACTATGGAATACTATATGGCATTTTTTAAAAATGAGGTAGATTTATAAATACTAAAATGGAAAGACGTCAAAGACCTACCACTAAGTGAAAAAAGAAAGTTGTGGAAAAATGCATACAGTATGAAAGATACTGCTACATGTACACATGTTGTTGCTGTTGTTAGGTGCTGTTGAGTCAATTCTGACTCATAGAGACTCCATGTGACACAGTAGAACTGTCCCCGTTGAGTTTTCTTGGCTGTAATCTTTATGGGAGCACATTACCAGGTCTTTCTCCCATTGGAGCCGCTGGGTGGGTTTGAACTGCCAATCTTTCGGTTAACAGCTGAGCACTTATCCATTGTGCCACACATATATAAATGCATAGAAAATATTCTGGAAGTACACACATTAAACTGATAAAAGTAATTACCTCCAATAAGTGACTTGGGTGAGGGTAGTGGTCAAGGTATATTTTCACTTTATTAGAATTTATTTAAACTTTTTCTTAACTACAAGAAGAAATTCATGCATTATTTACACAATAAAAACAATTTTTTGAAACTCTTAAGGTGGAAAAATGCTTTAAAAAGGCAATTTTTCAAGTATATACAACAGCTATACTTGTTACCTCCAGGATTTTTTGTTCCTGCTTGTAGTTCCAATTATTGCTTATGTTCATGGCATCATAAAAATGGTTTTAAAATTTAACTCCTATTATAATTTATTTACTTTCACAGATTCCAATACTATCTAAAGAAATGAATTTACATTTATTTTTTAAAGGCTTTAATGGAAAACTGAAAAAGAAAATTGATACAGCATCAGTTATTATCACAACTTGAAATTTGAAATGTATACTTGTTAGAACTTTAAAAAAAAAATGCCTTTCCCTACTTTGACTAAATGGGGTAAAGTACCTTTCTCTAAAAAGTTCCACAAAAAAGTATAATTTCTAGTACTTGCCTCAAAATTGATATTGGTTACACAAATGCGTCTGCACACGATAAAAGGGAATGTTACAGTGAATGGGAACGTTACTGCAGTGGCGGGTCTGAGCTGCCTGCCGCAGAAGCTAATACCGAGACAGGGTGAGGTGAGCAACAAGAGTGTTTTATTGTATATCGATATACAGGAGACAGAGAGGAATGAGCTCCTCCAAAAGATCTGTCTCCCCCTTGGAAACCGGCTGAAAGTTTTTATATGGACAAGATTACAGGTTTTTTTTCTGGTGGTTACATTCTGCACCTGGCAATCCTTGAAGGTCATCTTGCATCGTTATTATCACCTTACAGATGAGTTACTCTACCCTCCAAGGTCCTTCTACCTCTCAAAGAGAAACTTAGTTAAACTTCAAAGTCATGGGAAAGCAAAAGGGAGGGGATAGGAGGAAAACAAATCAAAATCATAGAAGCATGCAAAAGTAAACTATGCAAGCTAGGCATTAACAATACCACAATACCCAGGAAGCTAGACCTATACTGCTGGCAATAAACAATAAATGTGAAATTTCCATGCAGCCCCTTTCAGGAAGTGAGCAGACTAATGTGTCTTGCTGAACATCCCCAAAGCAGCCATATGTTTTAGGTAACTGCACAGGCTTCAATTACCTGCCCATTATAGAACACAGCCTGAGCAGGCTGCCTTCACAATTTTTAGACTAAGGTAAAAGGGTTCATAGAGCTCTGGTTCACGGAGCTCATCTTTGTGACTGCCCCAGTTAATAAAAGGATCACCCTTTTTGATATCTTAATCAGTTGGTCGTAAGCCAACATCGTTACTGTGGACAGTCTTTAAGGACAGGCAGAGAGAGTGACTGCAGTGGACGGGCAGGATGTGAGAAGTATTGAGGTTCCCTCTGTGGCACAGCACACAACCCAGTGACTTCTCTGGGTTCACATCATAGTAATGACTTCTGGGGTATTAGCAATGGGCACATAATTCTCAATAATTAAATGAAAGAAAAATTGGATTTTTTTTTAATCAAGGAAATAGAAAATATTCCATCTTCCTGTTTTGTATCCAACCCCCTTTGATTCAGAATTCTTTTAATATGACAGAAGCAGACAGCACTAGCCACAGCCCTAATTGAGATGGACACTACACGTGATCTCCAAGGATACCTAGAGGACTCGTGGCTCTTTCAAGTTCCATAAGCCCAATCAGTCATTTTTAATTCATCATAATTGCAAAGTGCTTTCTGGAAACACCAGGAAGTAAAGCATACAAGTTTTCACGGGATGTCTGATTTCATCACAAACACTAATGCAAAATTTATCTTGGACTGGCAAGATGAAACATGAAGTTGGCAACATAAAGTCCTACCTATTTTCCATTAAACTGTCAAATAATAACATAAATTCAAAAATAACAAGCTGGTTAGCAACAACGACAAAAAACAGTTCTGGTCTTCACCAAAAGAAGTAAACACCTCACACACACTCCCACACATAAACATACACATCAAAAGTTTCAAAGTAATTATGTTTTTAGATAAATAAATTGAAAAGACTGGAAGAAAGGCAGATACAAAGAAGTTCTTAAAAAGAGACTGCTGGGTACAGAGAAGCTAGCATGAAGTTTCTAAAAAGATGAGTTACAAATTAAGAAAAAAATTTCTCATAGTGAGGTTTAGGTTAGATTATTTCTAAGATTTCTGCCAGGACTAGAATAATACTTCTGTAGTAAATGTTGAGGCAGACTGTTCCCAAAGTGACCTCAAAGTCAAGCTGCCAATACAGGACCATTTGGTTTCTGTTCTGTGCTTATCTAGAGTGGGTGAGGGAAAGTGACATAAACTTGGAAGATCTGTAACGTATCTAATAGTTATAATGTAGCAGACAATTTTATAAAACATATTTTCTGGATTTACATGACACCCACACCAATACTGATAGACAGACAGAGATAGGTAGATAATGAGAGATGATAGTAGGTAAACCAGTTGCCATAGAGTCTATTTTGATTCATGGTGACCCCATGTGTGTCAGAGTAGAACTGTGCTCCATATGGTTTTCAGCGGCTGATTTTTCACAAGCAGATCACCAGCCCTTTCATCGGAGGCACTTTTGGGTAGACTCAAATCTCCAACCTTTCAGTTAGTAGCCAAGCTAGTTAATTATATGCACCACCCAGGGACTCCAAACCAGTTGCTGTTGAGTCGATTTTGACTCATGGTGACAATAGATAGATGATGGATGGATGGATGGATGGATGGATAAATGATTGATAGATAGATAAAAGTGTGAAGGCAGGATGAAGAACTTGCCTGTATTGCCACATCTTTGTTCTCACTACTAGGGCCCAGGGCCCATTCATAGTGGACAATCTGGTGATCATCACTGCTCTGGTTTCCATTCAGAGTGATGGAGTCTTGGGACAAAGTTATAGTCTGATTAGGTCCCGCATCGGCAACTGGTGGATAGTCCACAGCACTGTTGACTATTAGGATCGCAGTTGTGGAATTAGTGGCTCCATCCGAGTCTGTAACGGTTAACCTACAAAAAGGAAAGTAAGCCATTATGCTGGAAGAATATGCCACATCTTAAGGTAAGCAGTCAATTTAGTCTGCTCATGGTATAGTGCTCAGAACAACTAAGAAGTGTAAGAAGAAATCTGAGGATGAAGCTGAGGAAAGAACAGACTTGAATGTATTTTTATTTGTTTTTGTTGCTGCTGTTTGTTTTATTTATTTAGTTAGTGATGCATTCACACGTTAGAATTTCATGTTATATGGGTTTCTGATTAGTCTTTGGGATGCTGGGTGGAAAAAAAACATCCTCGGCCAACCCAGAAGTCTCTAATAACTGAGAATAAGAACGTATCAGGTCTAAGTATTACCTTCAGGCCTGAGCATGTAGAGCAGTAAATCACTCATCAATTTTCAGCTACAAGCTTTTTTATTTTTAATTCTTTCTAGAGGACTTAATATGTTTTCAGAACACTTCCTGCAAAGCAATTTTAGGATTAAGCACTTTCAAATATAAACCGATGGTCAAACTACACAAACAACAAAAAGGACTGCACTGACCTTGTACTCGACTGATTCCTGATGTGGTAACTGAAACAGTGAAGTAACGTCACTCCACAATTCTAGGGGAGAGGTGTTAGTTCTGAGCAGTAATAAGTGCTAATCAGATATAAAGAGGAATTTGAGAATGAGGCTATGGAATGAGCACAGGGCTTATTTGTAGGTAAGCGTACAGTTGTTGTTGTTAGGTGCTACTGAGTCAATTTCAACTCACAGCAACCCTGTGTGACAGAGTAGAAATGTTCCATAGGGTTTTCTAGGCTGACTAAGGTATGCCTGATCCAAGCCATGGTGTTTTCAATTGCCTCATACGCATGTGAAAGCTGGTCAGTGAATAAGGAAGAATGAAGAAGAACCAATGCCTCTGAACTATGGTGTTGGCAAAGAATACTGCCTACACCATAGACTGCCAGAAGAACGAACAAACCTGTCCTGGAAGTACAGCCAGAATGCTCCTCAGAAGCAAGGATGGCAAGACATCATCTCATGTACTTTGGACATGTTATCAGGAAGGACCAGTCCCTGGAGAAGGACATCATGTTTGGTAAAGAAGAAGGTCACCAAAAAAGAGGAAGACCCTTGAGGAGATGGACTGACACAGTGGCTGGAACAATGGGTTCAAATATAGCAACGACTGCGAGGATGGTGAAGGACTGGGCAGTGTTTCATTCTGTTGTACACAGGGTCACTATGAGTTGGAACCAATTCAACGGCACCAAACAACAACAATCTTTACGGGAGCAGATTGCCAGGTCTTTCTCCCGAAGAGCTGCTAGCCTTTGGTTAGCAGCCAAGTACTTAACCATTGCACCACTGGTGTATTTGAGCTCCCTTTCACACTCTCCCAGATGTTCCGCCCAACCAAGATCCAAACTCCAGTTTAGGCTCTGAGAGCAAACCGAACATCTAAGGTCTTTCCTTCTCAACTAGGCTGAGTCAGGACACATGCTGAGCCCATAAAGGAACTTCTTCCTGGTAAAATGGGGACAGCAATAGTAAGCTGCCTCAATCAGAGGGTGAAGAGTGAATTCAAAGCACCTTGTACAGTGGCATTTCACTGTATGTACATTTTACCTCAATAAATAAAGTGCTGTAGAATACTTTTAATAATAACTTTTCTGAAGTCCCCTCAGGCTTTTATATCAGAATGTTCCCACAAGTCTGCCTTGGCAAAACCCTCATATAAAAACTAGACAATAATTTGGCAACATGTATCAAATACCTTAAAAACATACATGCCTTCTAACCCAGAAATTTTACTAGTACCCTCAAATTTAACTACAAGGACATTAATCCCACACATTGAGTAACAGAGCCGGATTAATAAACTACAGTATATCAGCACAGCATTAAATATGATGGTGCAGATATTTAATCACATGGATATTCATGATAAATAGGGAATCCAAAAACAGATCCACACATATATTAAAACTTGGTATAGGAGAGATGTGGCACTGCAGATTGGGAAAGAAAAGACTAGACAACAAACTGTACTGGCACAACTAATTATCAATATGGTTAAAAATGAATAAATAAAATTGGATCTAACCACTAATGAGCTGCAATCAGTACCATGTAGATAAAAATTTAAATGTGAAAGACAAAACTTTTAAAATGTTAGAAGAAATCATATAAGTGGCTTGCAAAAACATCCTGTATGTCTGATCCAAGTTTTCTTTAAAAAAAAAAAAGAAAATTTAAGTTTATGTGTGTATAGAAAAAGGACTATAATAACAAATACTAAACTATTAAGGTGGTTATTTCTAGTGGTGGAATTATGGGAGGTATTTAATTTCCTTCTTTCTGCTTATAGATATATTCTGGGTTTTATTTTGCTTTAATGGTAAATATGCATTGCCCTTATATAAGAAAAAATAATATTTTTTTAAACTCATGCTTTGCTACCTGTCTCTTGAAAACCTATGGCCTGTCTGGACTAAGCTGTCTCTGTCCAGGTGGTAAACTAAAAACACACACACAAAAAACACTAAAGCACTGATGGCTGCTCATTCTGCCTCCACAGGACCTGTGGATCTCAAGGTATTTACCTGTTTTTTTTTTTTTTAACTAATATTTTATTGCATCTTCGGTGAAGGTTTACACAGCAGTTTCTACACAATTCAACAATTTCTACACAAACTGTTCAGTGATGTTGGTTACATTCTTCACAACGCATTAACATTCTCATTATTTTCATTCTATTTGTTCCATTTCCATTAATCTAGTTTCCCTGCCCCCTTACATTTGCATCATTGTTTTAAAGTAACTGTTCACCGTATTGTCTTATATAAGTGATTTTTTTTAAGGGAGCACAGTACTTATGGGTGATATTATTTTGTAAGCCAATCTGTTATTTAGCAACAAGGTGACCTCAGAGGTTAGTTTCAGTACTAGTTTGATAAGTATCTCACGGCAATAGTCTCAGTGAGGCCTCCAGTCTCAACCAGCTCAGTAAGTTTGGTTTCGTTTTGTTTTTTAAAGAATTTGAGGTTCTGTTCCACATTTTTCTCCCATTCTATCAGGATCTATCTATCGTGGCCCTGATTAAAATGGCAATCTGCTTCCGCCCACTAGTGGTAGCTGGGCACAATCTAGTTCTCTGGTCTCAGGATAGATGAGGCCATCCAACGTATCCACTCTTCGTAATAAAATAAGCTTGCAAGTGAGATAAATTGCTTAAGCTGAGATTTCAAATAAACCAAAACATAAGCTTTTACAACCATGTGTAAAATCTGAGACACTCTAGAGCACCTCTGTGCATCTTTTAGTTAAAGATAAATTCAATCAGATTCTTGAGGATTTCTTAAGAGAGACTTTAGAGGGTCCAAGAACACATGGACATATGGACTCTTTCTCTGAAATCATCAGACTCTTAAACGAGTATATGAGACCTTAAAAAACACAACATGTCAAATGTGTGGTATGCAGCTAAGCAATACTCGAAGGAAAATTATAGCTTTAAAAGCTCATGTAATAAGAGAAGAAAGATCTAATATAGATGACCTAAGATTGTACCCCAAAAAGTTTTTTTTTTAAAAAAAAAAAGAAAGAAAGCAAAGTAAATCCAATGTAAATGGAAGGAAGAAAATAATAAAGAGCCAAAATTAACAAATTAGAAAACAGAACAAAAGAAAATCAACATAATTCTAGTTAAAGGTTCTTTGAAAAGATAAACTTAACAACCCCCTAACTAGGCTAATCAAAAGCAAGGAGAGAGACACAGATCACCAATATCAGTAATGAAAAAGGGCCTATAAGCACAGATCCTACAGATGTTAAGAGGATAATGTGACGATACCATCAACAACTTTATAGCAATAAATACGACAATTTAGACGAAATGGACAGATCTCTTGAAAACAACTTACCAAAACTGATACAAGAAGAAACAAAAAAATTTGAATGGCCTTACACCTATTAATGGTGGGCTAGGTGGCACAAATGTTAAGCACTCGACCTACTAGCCGAAAGGTTGGAGGTCAGAACCCACCCAGAGGTGCCTCGGGAGACAGGCCTGGCAATCTACTTCTGAAAGGTTACATCCTTGAAAACCCTATAGAGTCGTTGTACTCTGCACACATGGGGTCTCTGTGAGTTGGAATCAACTTGATGACTACCAACAACAATACCTATTAAAGAAATTGAATGAATGTGTTGTCAAAAACCTTCTCAAAAAGAGCATTCCAGGCCCAGATGATTTTACTAGTGAACTCTATCAAACATCCAAGGAAGAACTAACACCAGTTATACACAAACATTTTCAGAAAATAGAGTATGGGTCACTGCCCAACTTGTTTTATTAGGCCACTACAATGCCCATACCAAAATCTGGCAAAGACATTGCAAAAAAAGAGAAAATTATAGACCAATATTCTTTGTGAACTTACAGGTAAAAATCCTTATCAAAATATTATCAAATTGAATCCAACAATATATAAAAAGCATGAGTGAAAGAAGCCAGGCAAAAAGGAGCACAAAAAGGAGTATAGTTCCATTTACATAAAATTGTAAAAATGCAAAATAATTTAAAGTGACAGAAATCAAGTCAGTGGGTGTCTAGGGATGGGAGTGGAGGAAGAGATAAATTGTAAAGGGGCATAAGGAAACTTCTGGGGTGATGGAAATGCTCATAATCTTGATTGTGGTGATGGTTTGACAGGTGTATAAATATGTCAAAACTCATCAAATTTTATACTTTTAATACGTGTAGCTTATTAACATCTGTTACACCTAAAGAATGGTCAAAAAAAGAAAAAAATTAAGAAACAGATAATCATCCAACTCTGCCTCACTTTCACTCTGAAGATACAAATGTTCTTTTACATAACTCAACAGAATAGGACATCAACCTTATACTATTCCTGGCAGCCAAAACCAAACGTTTACAACAAATAAACAAAAAAACCCACTGCTATTGAGTCAATTCTGACTCATAGCGACCCTATAGGACAGAGCAGAAATGCCCCACAGGATTTCCAAGGAGCGGCTGGAGGATTCAAACTGCTGACCTTCTGGTTAGCAGCCAAATGCTTAACCACTCCGCCACCAGGACCCCTTCCAACAAATGGGCGCTTATAACTCAATATTAATCGATAAGGATATCAGTGTCTAAAATGGATGCCAACCGGAATCACAACAGAGGGTCTTGGACAGAGCTGGAGAAAAATGTAGAACAAAACTCTAACTCACAAAAAAATACCAGATTTACTGGCCTGACAGAGACTGTAGAAACCCCAAGAGTACGGCCCCCGGACACCCTTTTACCTCAATAATGAAGTGACTCCCGAGGTTCACCATTCAGCCAAAGATTAGACAGCCCAATAAAACAAAACAAGACTAATGGGCTAATGGGGCTCAACAGTCCAGGGACAAGGACTAGAAGGCAGGAGGGGACAGGAAAGCTGGTAATAGGGAACCCAAGGTTGAGAAGGGACAGTGTTGACATGTCGTGGGGTGGTTAACCATTGTCATAAAACAATATGTGTACTAACTGTTTAATGAGAAACTATTGTTTCTGTAAACTTTCATCTAAAGTACAATAAAAAAAAACTGAAAGAAAAAAAAGAAAGAAAAAACACTATGGAGCATAGTTCAAAATAAATAAATAAATAAATAAAATGGATGCCAACCAAAAACCACCAAGGAAACTGAATCTGCCTTACCTCTTGATCAAAATGTTTTATAGGCTTAATTTAACGAAACTGTCAAAACATAAGTAATGGGAAGCACAAGAAAGCAGGGGAGTACACTTGCCTGAAAGTACAGTTACCAGGAACAAGGTCAGACAAGTATAAGATGGGGGAATCAGCTGATGTCTTCTCTTCTCTGAAGGACCCATTAATTTCTTCCCAGTGATAACTCACTATTTTAGTATCATCTGTACTTTCTAGAAAGATTAAAAAATGAAAACCAAAATGAGATGCGAGAATAGTAAAACTTGAGTTTTTAAGCTTATGTTGGCGAATGTTTAAAAATCGTTTTATATAAATTTGTGTAACTGCATATAGAGGAAGGATTTGTCCTCCTCCCTCCTGGATTTCCACCACTCAGTTGAGTATTTAAGAAGTGTAGTGAACAGACATTACTGCTTTTTAAAACACAGGAGTTGATGAAGTGTAGCATGTTGAAATGCTACTTTTAAACCTCACCTCAGCTACAGCATATTATCGTAATGATCATTTTAAGTAGGTTTCTGAACTGACAGATTCATAAAGTACTTAAGTGATACTTATCTATAATTTACGAAACCCTTTTTGCTATATTAATTATTAAGGTGTAAATCTAGAGAAAGGTAGTAAACCTCTATAAAAACTTTTCATTTCTACTTTAAAAGAGTGCAAACAAAATGTGCCATGTAGAATCACAGAAAGTTAGACCTGGGAAAAGGCCAGTTTCATGTAATTCATTTAAGGAAAGAACAGGTTCATGTAACTACGCCTAATTAGAGGAATCAAAACCTGAAACATTTTCTCATGCAAATATTTTCATTTAAAATATGCTTTATTTTCATGTTGTTAAGGAAGAAACATGGGCATCTATATTATATTCAAATAGCTGCAAGCAGTATGTCAATGTGATTTCTGTACTTTTGCAAACTTGCAAAGTGGACCAGAATTAATGGCTGACAAGTGCTCTTGTTCTAACAACCAAGGCAGTTATTCTTCACTCTACAGGATTTGGTATTAGCTTTGTGATTAAATGCACATGTCTTAGCTATCTTGTGCTGCTATGACAGAAATACCACAAGTGGATGTGGTATCTCTGATCCCTCTGGTCCTTCGGCTTTAGGTGGCCCCATTCTCCTAGTCCATCTGAGTGGCAACCCCAACCTCTCAGCCATGGCAGGCCCTGTTCTTCTGCCCCTTGGGCATGGCAGCTGCACCTCCTCAGCTTTGGGTGGTGACCCCATGCCCCTGGCACACCTTAATGGCAGCCCCATACTCCGAATCTGAGTTGGTGAAGATCCAACTCTTTGAAACCTAGGAGGCTGTGGTCATACCCTTTAAGATCCCGGAGACCATGGCCCTACCCTTTGAAACTGAGAAGGCCCTGCTTCTCGTGCTCCTTCCAACAGTTCTGTTGATCTCCAAGCTGCTCCAGGGATGGTCCTTTTCTTTTCTTGGGGGACATCAGATGTACCTCCTTTGGCCTGTTTCCTGCCTATAGAATTCCAAGAGGCAGACAGCGTTCTCTCCTTTCATTCTTTCCTGTCCCCTTCAGTCTAAGCAGATGGGTTTTCTGCTGTGGTAGTTGGTCAGATCCATCAGTCACAGGCTTAATTTCTTGAACAAAAGACTGTGTAGCCACATCCTTGGTGAACATTCTAGGACATGTGCTCTTAGTTTGTACAACAGAATTTTCCAAATCTTTAAGTTTTGTTTGCATGTTGCACAGTTCATTTTTAAGTCCATCTCTTTCCTCTCACATTTTACTACAAGCAACAAGGAGAAACCATGAACCCCTTTAAGATCTTGCTTAGAAATCTCATCATCCAGATATCCAAGTTCATCACTTACAAGTTCTACCTTCCACCAAACATTTGAACATAATTCAGACAAATTCTTTGCCACTGCATAAAAAGCTTCACCCTTCCTCCACTGTCCAATCATGTTTCATCATTTTCTTTTAAAGCCTCTCCAGAAGCACATTTAACATCCATAATTCTAGCAATATTCTGTTGCTGGTGCCATATATATTCTCTAACATGATAGACACTTTCCCTATAGCTCTCCTCACTTCCTTCTGAGCCCTCCTCAGAATCACCTTTGACGTCCATAATTCTACCAATAGTCTCTTCAAGCCAATCTAGGCTTTTACTATTAGGTGTCTTAAAACTCTTCCAACCTCTACCCATTACCCAACTCCAAAACCATTTCTACATTTTAGATATGTTAGAGCAGCACCCCACTCTGCTGGTATCAGATTCTGTCTTAGTGATCTACAGCTGCTATAACAGAAATACCACAAGTGGATGGTTTTAACAAACATAAATTTATTTTCTCACAATTTAAGAGGCTAAAAGTCCGAATTCAAGGTGCCAGTTCTGGGGAAAGGCTTTCTCCCTCTGTTGGCTCTGGGGGAAAGTCCTTGTGTCTTCAGTTTGTTTCCTGGTTCCTTGGAGATCTCCATGTGGCTTGGCATCAATCTTCCCCCATGTCTGCTTGCTAGCTTGCTTGTTTAATCTTTTATATCTCGAAAGAAATTGACTCAAGATACACCCTACAGTAATCCTGTCTTATTAACACAACAAAGAACCGATTCCCTAATGGTATTATAACCCCATTAAAAAAAAAAAAACCCACTGAGTCAATTCCAACTCACAGCAACCCTATAGGACAGAGTAGAACTGCCCTATAGAATTTCCAAGGAGCACCTGGTGGATTCGAACTGCCAACCTTCCAGGGAGCACCTGGTGCATTCAAACTGCCGACCTTTTGGTTAACAGCCATAGCACTTTACCATTACGCCACCAGGGTTTCCAGGGGATTATAACCACCGGTATCCAAAACTCAAAACAAACTCATTGCCGTTAAGTCGATTCTAAATTATAGTAACCCTATAGAGGTTAGGATTTACAACACATATTTTGGGGGGCCACAGTTCAATCCATAACAGCACATAAAATGTAATCACCAGTTACACTGATATTGTTGAACCAAGTCTGACACAGAATATATTTTCAATCTATCCTCACTTGCATGGGCACCTGTAGTTACATTGGGGCCCATTCCCCATGTCCTCTAATAGAAGGTCAAATGAACTCTGAATTAAATTAACAAGTAAACCGCTATTTCCACTCTTACTGAAGGCAACTCTTCTAATGTTTATTAAAAGTGACTAAAAGTGATTTGCCAACTGCTTATCATATATATGACCTCAAAAGTAGATACTTTAATAATTGCTTTAATTGTAAATCAAATAACTGGGCCCCAAAGAATTTTTTCATAGACAAATGAGGCAAAACAGAAGGGAAGGTGAGCAAAGGGCAGAGAAGTTGTGATGAAAGAAGTAACATGGAAGAACTTTAAGACGTAAAACTAAAGAAGGAGGCAGTTATCTATCAGTATATTAGCCCGTAGGTTCTCTCAGCCTTAATGCATAGCTCCCATTAAACACTAACAGTATTTAGGCCAAAACAACACGAAACCAAAACCCAAAGTATCGCAGGATACACACAACTGCCATGGATGAAGCCGGAAGTCAAAGGCAGAGTGAGCTCTTGTATTTGGGGAGAAACAACTGCTACGGGTGGCTGGTTGACTCTTTGGACTGTGTGACAGAGAAGAAGAAACATACTGAACTCAAGCTGTGCACAAACATACTGCGGCCCAAATAAAATAATCTGATTTTTTTTAAAAGACTGTCTATAAGCATTCTGTCAAGAAGGTGCTTAACTTAGGAGTGTCCACTATGGAGAGCACTCTTTAAAGATTTGGAGCCTTCCTGTAAAGCTTAGGAGCTTGTCTGCAGGTTTATATTTCTGTACTTAAGCCCAGGCTCAGCAAAGACACGTGATAAAAATCAAGCGGTTAGTCACACAATGTGAGCAATAGTTCCAGCTCCCATGATTAACTGGATTTTGAAGCTCCCAGTGCAGCCCTCCCCACCACCATCACGCTTTGGTTATACTAATAATCAGGCGAATGTACAAAAGATAGAGCTGTCAGCCCCTAAAGGTAAAAGTCGGAAGGTGAAGTTGGTGCAGAGCAGGTTGTGTGGGCTGTGCCCTCAGCCCAGCTGTGGAGGTAGCAGAGGCAAAAAGCTGCCCATATTCCACTCACTGAGCCAGGCTGTACCCGACCAGACAAAGGGTCACCTGTTTCTAATTCACACAAACACGCTGACTTATGGGCTAGTGTTGGTCTGAAAGAGACCAAAACCCATTGCCATCGAGTCAATTCTGACTCATAGTGGCCCTACAGGGCACAGCAGAACTGCCCCATAGGGTTTCCAAGGAGTGGCTGGTGGCTTCAAACTGCTGACCTTTTGGTTAGCAGCTGAACTTTTAACCACTGGGCTTGAAAGTCTATGGCCTACATTTTCCTCTGAACCTTCAGTTGCTCAGTTGAATATACTGTCCCTGCAGCTAAGGTTGGAATCATGAGGAATGGAGGGAAAAGCAAGGGTACATGAAGTAAATGTTAAACAGAGAAACCTATGATATAGACAATTTGCCACTACTCAAGATCAGAAAGAAATAACTTTGTAACCTTAAATAACAGTGTTATACAGAAAGTAGAAAAAAAAAATGCTTTCATGTTTTCTCTACTGTAAAAATAAAATAATATTTATTTACTGTAAAACTAAAAAAGACATCATCATGCCATTCAAGTGCCAAAAAATAAGAAGCACCTGGACAACAGGAGGCCATTCTCTCACACAGGCTTACCTGGCCCAACAGTGACATTTACATATCCTTCTCCAAAGGCATTTTCACTAGAAACAGCTACTTTGAAAGCATAAAGTCCTACTGACAACTGCAACGTAGAGAAAAGTCACACAGGTAAACATGCAAAAGACACGATGAGTCCATTGCCTAGAAAAGCCTACCGTATCCCAGAAGCCACACTCCTAAAGTCAGCACAGAGAAGGGGCAGGAAAAAGTCTCATTTGGATCTGTCCAGAGGTAGTCACATGTTTGAAGACTGTGCTCTGGAATGCTGAGGATCACCCAGATGAGCCTTTAGCTTACCTTATTTTTATGCAAATAACATGCACCTTCTACATTTGTTTGCCAACCGCGCTCCCCTACAAGGTATTATCATAAGCGCCACTATGCCAATTTTTTTTACATGTTGCTGTAAAAAAAAAAAAAAAATAGCATAGTGTGCTTAAGAAAATACCTCACAGGAGGAGGGCACGGTTGACAAACAAACATAGAAGCATGCATTATTTGCGTAAAAATATGGTAGTTGCAGGTGTTCACAGGCCCTACAGAGGCATAAGTGAGATGGACCAGCCAAGGCAGCAGTTTCCAAACTTGAGCATATGGGAATCACTTGGCAAGTGTTTTAAAAATGCAGGTCTCAGAGACTCTTACTCAGTGGACTTGCATTTTTAACAAGCAGCCCTCGTAAGTTGGCTGCAGGCTGTCTGGGTAGCACACTTTGAGAAACAGAGCTCAGTGACATGAAGGGGTGTACCATTAGCTATGCAGTCTCAGGAGATGATGACAACATGCTCATCTGGCAGGAAGCTAGACATCTAGCAGCTAGGTCAGTATATTTATCTTATGGGCCAGGAAGAGGACGTGTTTCTTGTGAGGTGCTCATATCTTGGAGAAATATTTGATAGTCAAAGCAACTTCTGAACTAGAATGGAATTATTGGCAACTCTACAAATGTGTCTGAGAACCAGAGATAACTAGAATGTCTCTAAACACTGCAAAGAAAGCAAGAGTTAGAAGACAGGCTTTTTAACTTCACCAGCTTCTTCCCAGAACTGATAATGGCAAGTAACTCAAAGAAAAGCAGCTACCCTAAAGCCGCTTTATTGAACCATAACTAAATAATGTCTACCTACATGGTTGAAACTTTGTTCATTTATATCTTTCTTTTGATTGTATTCATAGTTATAAGAGAGACCTCTGGGTCCAACAGCTAAGAGGTGTTAACTGAATTCTATGGTATGCTGTCAAATACAGCTAGTCTAAGGTTACTTACTTGAAAGAGGTTAAGAGCTTGCATTTATTTTTGTTCCATTTCACCCCAGTAGTCTACAGGGTGGCTTATCAAACTCCAGTCGTAACTGTAGATTGTTTCTGAGGGTAAAAAAAGAAACATGAGTAGTTATAAATTCTGAGCGGTCACTTACATAATCTGGGAGAGGGGAAGGAAAGGACAGACTTAAACCCACTAGCATCATCTTAGATATACTGAACTCAACTTTCAACTATCATCCAAGTGAGGACTAACAAGGTTTCTGTATCTTTTTAATGTAAATTTTTTTATTATGAACATTTAGAAAATATAAAAACAAACCCATTGCCATCAAGTGAATTCTGACTCATAGTGACCCTATAGGACAGAGTAGAACTGCTCCATAGGGTTTTTCCAAAGGTTGTAATCTTTTTTTTCCTATTGTGCTTTAGGTGAAAGCTTACAGCTCAAGTTAATTTCTTATATAAAAATGTATACACATATTGTTATGTGACAGTAGTTGCAATCCCTATAATGTGACAGCATACTCCTCCTTTCCACCCAGTGTCCCTCAAACCAGCTCCTGTCCCTTCCTACCTTCTCATCCTGCCTCCGGACAGAAGCTGCCATTTGATCTGGTGTATCTGCTTGAACTAAGAAGCACATTCTTCACAAGTATTATTTTATGTTTTATAGTCCAGTCTAATCTTTGTCTGAAGAGTGGGCCTCAGAAATGGTTTTAGTTCTGCATTAGCAGAGCGTCCAGAGGCCATGGCTTCAGGGGTCCCTCCAGTCTCAGTCAGACCAGTAAGTCTGGTCTTTTTACCTGAATTTGAGTTCTGCTCCATACTTTTCTCCTGTTCCATCAGGGGTAAGACTGTAATCTTTATAGAAGCAGACTGCCACATCTTCCACAGAGCAGCTGCTGGGTTCAAACTGCCAACCTTTCAGTTAGCAGCCAAGCACTTTAACCACTGCACATCTAGGGTTAAGTATAGCGCATTATATACTATGTTAAAACATATATGTATATGTATAGTCAGATATTGCATCTGGAAGGAAAGTCATCAAGTGCTAACAGTGAGATTAGAGATGATTTATTTACTTTCTATGTATTTTTAGATGACTTATTTTCTTATTTTACTTTCTTATTTTTAGATGATTTATTTACTTATTTTTTAATTTTCTATATGTATTTTTTAGAAAACATAGAAAGTAAAAAAATAAGTAAATAAATCATCTCTAATCTCTCTGTTAGCACTTGATGACTTTCCTTCCAGGTGCTATATCTGGCTATACATACATGTTTTAACACAGTATAATCCACTGTACTTCTCCCTTTAATAAAAGGCAAGGAGGTTTCAATTCACTTGGAGTTTAAGGACACAAAACAGAGCAAATATTCCTATATTGAGACGAATTCTGGTGGCACAGTGGTTAAGAGCTTGGCTGCCAACAAAAGGGCCGGCAGTCTGAATCTAACAGCTGCTCCTTGTGATTTAGAAAATAATACTGGAATCATTTATTCCCTCTCCTTGAGCAAAGAGAATGTGACCCAGCTGGAGCTGGGCTCACAAGGACGCACAAGGACATATCATCTGGGCCGTGAGGTATAAAGACAATAGCTAAGATAATCTTGGAAAATATCTTTTAGGGAACCTTCACATAAAGCAAATCAAACAGAACACAAAAGACATTTTAATCTTATTCTATTAGCATTTAGTGAATAGAAATTTGTTGGACCCATGAAGACCCTCCTGACTGTCATTACTGAAACCTGTACCAATGATTGTTAAGAAAGGCAATTCAAAAGGTAGGATCACAATTTCTAGCCAATCTGTGAAAAGGTGAAGCTTTCAATGGTTTTGCTCATTTGTAATGTTTATACTGACGGCTCTGTAATGGTTCCTTGGAGGGGCAGACATGGCTGTGGCAGCATGCTTGTCCGTTTTCCCATTCTTGCCTATTGTGTAATATTCTTTGGACTTGGACAGACATGGTTCTAGCAGCATGCTTGTCTGTTTTCCGATTTTTGTCTGTTCTGTGGTATTTCCTTGGACTCGGGCAGACATGGCTCTGGCAGCATGGTTGTCCATTTCCCACTTTTGCCTTTTTGAATATATCTCGAATAAAATGTTCTTTTTCTTTTACTAAACTTTGCAATGCTTTTCCCCTACAACACTTGGAAACCATATGGGGCAGTTCTACTCTGTCCTATGTGAGTCAGAATCGACTCAAGAGCAACAAGTTTGGTTTGTTTTTGGTTTATATTAAGATGAAGCCATCCCCCACCTTGATAGTCTGGTAGTTAAGAGGAATCATATACTTCAACTCACAGGATTAAAATGTAAATGCCAAATACTATCATCTCGGTTTATAAAATTTCAACCTATATGTGGTAGGGAAAAAAAACAAAACTAACCCGAATGAAAAATATTCAAACACTTTAAGACTGAGTATACCTTAAGAAAGAATGTGATAATCTTTAAAACTTAAACCAAAAATATCCCCTGAAGTCTTCTTAAAACCAAACAATAGTTTAACTTAACTAGTAAAAAATGTCCGCCTTCAGCATTATGCTCTTTTAAGAACTATCTATATGGTATCAAAGTGACATCAGCAACTCAAAAGATTATATAGGAATCTTAGTGGGTAGTGAGTTTATATTAATGGGGGAGGAACAACTCTGAAAAGGAGGGTAAAAATCGTTGCTCAACTTGAAGAATGTAATCAATCTCACTGAATTGTACATGTAGAAATGGTTGACTTGGAGTATGTTTTGTTATGTATACATGTATTTTCAACAACAACAAAAGAAATAAAACTAAAAAAAAAGAAAGAATGCATTTAATAGGTCACAGGGATAGGTGAAATATTCGCTGGACAAGCAGAAGAAAAAGCATTTTGAACAACATGTTTTGAACAGCTGGTGTGAGGTATTCTGAGGACCTAAGAGCCATGTTGTCGGCACTGCAGTATTTGCAAGCAAACCTTTGGGCACAGGCCACTGCCTTCTCCTCACAGTGGAATCTTCCCAAGCTCCATGGGTTAATACAGGTCAAAATCTGGTATGCGGAAACCTCCCCTGCTCTAATATATCACTCTGCTTTCCATCCAGATCAATGAAAAGATATGTATTCTATTTAATTTACCATACTCTCACTCCTTTTGAAACAATTTCAAAAAAACTTTGATGTTTATGATTATCAAAGGTATGTGTTCCACCCTAGAAACCTCATTTGTGATATCACACAGTGTTCTGAAAATAAACCAGTGCTGTAAATAACCAGTAAAGACCTATTATGGAAGAACACTCCAGCTGTACCAGCCCCTAGTGGTCAGAGAGGGAAGTCAAACACTCACCTGCAGATGGCGCTGGTACAACAAAAGCCTTCAGTTCAACTTCATTTTTCGGTAAAGTTATTATTAGGTTATCTCCAGCAGACACCATGAGTTCTTTCACTAAAAGCTCATCAGAAATAGTATATTCCATTATCTAGTATAATTATATTATATTCTCCCTTACAATAGATCCATAATATAAAATAACATTTTTGGAATAGTTCTTCAAATGATTTTTATCTAAGATACTTTTTCCTCTGATTAGTAACTAAACTATGCCCAGTATTATGCTGCAAGGTAGACTTTGTAAATTTAAAAACATCTATATGAGTTGGCACTGTGAAGAAAATAGTGATTCAAACACTGAGCACAGTGAGAAGAGCTGCGTGAAATAGGTGAGGTACTGTGGATTCAGCCTATTTTACTTACTACCAGCTTTTCTTTATTCCCTGGTATGTGCTATTTTTAGTCATAAAAAGATTGAGGGTAATCATAAATGTTTCTGTATCATTAGGCACACATCACTCAGGTCTCCTGGTAGTAACCATGAATTTCTGCTAATGGACTTGCTCTTGGAATGTTTCCAAAAGAAAATCCAGTCAACCTCCATATAAAAAGGCTACTTTAACTACAGCATCAGGAACATTCACTCTCATCAAAAGCACTTATCCATACCTAAGCATTCAGAACAATGCTCGTTTACATACTTTCTCTATAACTAGGATTAAATTGATAAGTTCATAGTATGGTTCTTTTGACAGGACATTAGTTTCACTTGTAAAATTCGATTGTGATAGGTGAACATACCACAAAGAGAAAAGCAAAGATTAAAAAAAAAAAAAAAAGTGCTCTCCAGAGGTATCAGCTGCTTGGAGATGTTAGGGGACTTTTTGCTCATTTAACTTGGGTCCTCTTCTCTCAGTCAGTACTCAGGCCCTCAACCAGCTACTGAGGCTCAGCTGGCTTTTCTGGCTTCTCCCTCACATCACTAGTACTGACTCTGCCCCAGAAGTTTGCAACTATGGTGCTAGAAAGGGACATTGGTCCTAACAGATCACTTTACAAATGAAGAAACTGAGTCCTAGAAAAGGCAAAGTAAGTTGCCTGAGGCTATCCGGGTAGTTATCGATAGATCCGCCAGCATTTAATTAAATATATTTAATTCAACAAACACATACCAGATTAAACTGTGCCAGGCACTGTTCTAAGGACTGTAGAATTATCTGCTTATTTAATCTCCATAACAACTCTATGCAGTAGGTACTATTAGAACCCATGGATCCTAATTCCCAGGTCAGTTTCCTTTTCAATATACTACACTGCTTATCGGCCACCGTTATCCTTCTCTGTACTAAAACTCAAGATCAAATATCCCCAAAGCACATTACCCACAGAAAACCACAAGAATATAACCTTAAGCCTTACAAAAGTCTCTAATAACTTCTTTGTTGTTAAATCTAATGGAAGCTTCCAGTCCTCACCATGAACTCGGCAACACATGACCTTTGATCATGGCTTCCTTCTTAGAACTCTCTCCTCCCTTTTCTTCCCCCAGTCCATGCTTTCTCTTTGTCTCCTACCTGTCTGGCACTACCACTCAGTCAGCTTTGTTGGCTCCTTCTGCTCTTCCAGCTCTTTATATAATGATGTCCCCAAAGTTCCAACCCTTACATCTCTCCTAAGCTCACCCCTCACTCTCTTTGGATGATCTCACATGCCCTCTTGTCTACACTGATGGCTGTCAATCCTTTATCTTCAGCCCAATTGCTTGAATAATTTTCAGTTCCATACATTCAACTGCCTACTAGCTTAAGAGTTCTTTTTTCCTCATCCCAACATTCACTCACTTGTCAAATCCTAATGATTCTACACCCTTAATATTTATTGAATCTGCTTCCTTCTCTCCACTCTGCAACCATTCACTACAGCCATACTGTTTTCTTAATAAGAACCTGATCACTTTGCTTCCCTGCTTTAAATCACTTGGGGACTCTTCATACCCTTCCAATAAAGCATAGATTCATTAGCACAGAATACAGGAGGCTTCAAAATCTTACCCTGTTTACCACTCCAGAAGCATATCTTGCCATTTCCTGTCCACTCGCATGATCAGTTCCAGCCACACTGAACTCCTTACAGTTCTCCCAAAATATCACATGAGCTCTTGTACTTCTCCTGCACAGGCAATGAATGAGATGATGGATGGGAAGTGCTGAGCATGGTGCCTGACACTTGATAAGTGCTCAGTAAGTACGTAATTATCATTATTGTTATTACCCATGCTGCTCCTTCAACCTGAACAACATGCCAACCCCGTTTTAGCTGGCTCACTCTACCCTAGAATTCTCTCCTCTAGAAAGGATGATCTGGCCCCTCGAGGAAGGCTCAGATGGGCCGCCTCTGCTCCCGTAGCAGCCTCTCACAGCACTTAACCATACTGTATCAAAACCATCTGTCTCCCCTCCTGGACTGTAGAGTCACTGAGGGAAGAGACAAGGCTTATTCATCTTTGTACTCTCAGTATGAAGTACGGTTTCTGGCACAAGGTAGATGCCCAACAATTGTGCCTGGAGGGAATGAGTAAACTTTAAGAGTTGTTACTCCTACATTCTATAGCATGTCTTCAGTACACTTCTTACAGTTGTATTTTTTAAAAGTTACCTGTCCAGGAATCAGTGGTAGGAGATTCGGGCTGCTCAGATGGGGTGGGCTGGGAGTACACAGCGCTAGTGGGAAGTGTTGTGAGGCTGTGATCTGTGTTCTGTCAGGTGATTGTGGGAACCGGGTTCTCCTCCATGGTTGCTGGGCTGAATTCCAGGCTGGATGGAGGAGGATTATGGGAAGGCATTAGAACCTATGAGATCAATTACAAGGATAAGTTGTTATGAAAATCACAGTCACAACACAATGTCACTAACCTTTTTCATAAAATAGATTCAGTAACGTTTGAAATACCATGTCTAATGTCTCAAAAGTCTGGAACTCTAGACCACCTCTTTCAAATGCTCTCTCTGCTATCTATTAAAAATATAAGGCAATTTTGGGTTGTACAATTAGTATAGATAAAACAGAAAGAAAAAAGAAGAAGAACATTCAAGATAAAGAGATGGGAATTAATTATAGTAGTCCCTGAACAAATCAGTAAAGCAATAATTGAAGACAATCAGATAATTCAATAGTAAACAGGCTTCTACAGTAAATGATCTTTACTTATACCATCCATCGTATATAAACTATAAGTTGAAATGTTTTTAGAGTTAACCAAATTAAAGTTTTTAAATTAAACATATGTGCCACAGGGAAAAGCCTCATAAGATAATACTAAAATGTTCTTCCGAGCCTCAACAGCCAGTGACTTTGTGGGACAAGTTAGGTAAAACTCTTACGCTAAGAATATAGAAGGAGACCAAAGTGGAAGTGAGAAAACCCCAGAAACAAAATCTGTAAACTGGAGAAGGAGCCACTGATGCTTACCAAAAACCAAATCAGCTGCCATAGGGTCTATAACAATTCATATTTTAGAAGCAGACTGCCAGGCCTTTCTCCTGAGGTGCCTTTTGGTGAGCAGCCCAGCTCTTAACTGTTTACACCACCCAGGGATTCCTTACTGAAAACACAGCTACTCTTTACTGCAGTTGAGAAAAGTGAGCAAGAAAATGCCACACTTCCTGTGTCTGGGGACCTGATGATCGACACCACTACTAATATTAACTGAACATTCACTGAGTTCAAGATATTTACTAGGCAAATGGGGAAACTGTCTGCAACTAAATATCAGGTACCAAGTTAAGAAGAAGAACATTTAATTTAAAATATATTGATGAGACTAAGAGAAATCACCAAATTTTTAAAATCAGGTACTGGGTCTACTGTAATTTTAAGATGCTTGATTTCACTGAAGTTTCAGGCATGTGGGTTTGTGAAGTAAGTGTTAATGTATGAGGCTGTTGACTGTACCTGTGTTGTCTAAGAATATGAAACTCACAATCATTGCAAATGAGGGTTGCAGAATAGGTCCTCAGAGCAAATTATAGCGGGGCCCTCTGCAAATTCTAACATGAACTGGATTTTTTTCTTTCTTTTTTTTTTAGTTTTATGGAGTCTTGAAAAGTTATTGCCAAATTGAAATAAAGAATGAAGCTGACAGTGTAAGTGAAATTAAGGTACCTCTAACCAAGGTCTCAAAGCCACTAGGAAATGGCTGAGGGGTTAAAAAAAAAAACAAAACCATACCCCTGCCTCCTCTCTAAATCATTCGTTTTCCCAGCATACTGCCTCTCTAGGCTGGAATCACATGCAAATTCTTTCCTTTATTTGGCAATCTACCCACAACCTCTACCACAGAACTTCTTGATAAGTTGTCAGGATGCAAGGCCCTTTTGAACATACCCACCAAAAGAAAACAGATCCTTCATGGAAGTAAATGAGCACCAGCATCCTTCATTCAGCCCTTCAATTTACAGCTTTCCTTGGTCATTAAAAGTCTCAAATGTCTCCTATTTCTATTTTCTCTACTCTTATTTACTTTGAAAGAACTTGTTTTAGGTGTATCTCTCTAGTATTGTCCATTTAAAAGCACAACTGCAGAAGTTTAACCTTAATTTGTTTTTCCTAGATGTCATATTCAATCATACTATTTTATGAATAATGCGTTTACGAACATTCATGTACAAGTCTTTATGTGGACATATGTTTTCTTTTCTCTTGGGTAAATATCTATGAGTAGAATTGCTGGATCATATGGCAACTGCTAGACTGTTTCTAAAGCATCTGTACCATTTTACATTACCACCAGCCATGTATGAAGGTTCCAATTTCTCCAAATACAAGTCTACACTTGTTACTGTCTATCGTTTTTATTAAAGCCATCCTAGTGGGTATGAAGTGCTATCTCGTTATGGTTTTGATTTGCCTATCATTAAGGATTAGGTGGTGAGCATCTTTTCATGTACATTTTGTCCATTGTCTTAGTTGTCTAGTGCTGCTACAACAGAAATACCACAAGTGGATGGCTTTAACAAAGAAATTTATTTCTTCACAGTAAAGTAGGATAAAAGTCCAAATTCAGGGCGTCAGCTCCAGGGGAAGGTTTTCTCTCTCTGTCGGCCTTTTCGTCAATGTTCCCCCCGACTAAGAACTTCTCTGCGCAGGGACCTGGGTCCAAAGGACGCACTCTGCTCCCAGCACTGCCTTCTTCATGGTATGAGGTCCCCCAATTCTCTGCTTGCTTCCCTTTTATCTCTTGTAAGGTAAAAAGTGGTGCAGGCCACACCCTAGGGAAACTCCCTTTACATTGGATCAGGGATGTGACCTGGATAAGGGTGATGTTACAATCCCACCCTAATCCTCTTTAACATAAAATTACAATCACAAAATGGAGGCCAACCACACAATTCTGGGAATTATGGCCCAGCCAAACTGATACACACATTTTTTGGGGGGACACAATTCAAACCATGACATCCATTCTTCTATTTTTTTTTTTTAAATTGGAGAAATGTCTACTCAGATCCCTTGCCCATTTTTTAACTGAGTTGTCTTCTTATTATTGAGTTGTAAGAGTTCTTTATATATTCTGGATACAATATATATGATAAATGGTTTACAAATACTTTTCCCACTCATTTTAATGGTGTCATTTGAAGCACAAAAGTTTTTAACTTTGATGAAGTCCACTTTATCTTCTGTTTTAAATTGCTTGTGCTTTTGATGTCATATCTAAGAAATCATTGCCTAACATAAGGTCCCAAAGATTTACTTTTATGTTTTCTTCTAAGAGTTTTATAGTTTTAGCTCTTATATTTAGGTCTTTGATCCATTTTAATTTTTTTATTGTTGTAAAAATATACATAACACAACACTTGCCAATGCAACATCTTTCAGGTGTACAATCCACTTCAATTTTTAATGTCTAACATGTAGTCTTGCAGCCTGGTGGCACAGTGGTTAAGAGCTCAGACTGCGAACAAAAAGGTTGGCAGTTTGAATCCACCAGCTACTCCTTGGAAACCCT